CTCCATTGGATCAACTACTTTGAGTACGAGGGGATAGCTCTGATACATATAATATGCTTATGCAAAGGAACCTTGCGAACAAGCATGGTGTCCTCGACTACGTTGAGTCCTTATTTTTAGGGCTTGATATTATACTTCCTATTCGAAAAGATTGCCGTATTCTCAAACTTCTGAAAGGTGTAAGATTCGCCAAAGAAATCTTTGTTCCCATAACTTTTTTCTGTACTAGGCAGCTAACCTTTTGCTGATTGCACAAATTTATACAAAGGAGTTTTTGCTTCCACTCTAACCGGCTCTCGATATGAGGTAACACTCTTAAGCTTGTTACCTTATATTGCTGTCATTACCTATACAGGATGATCAACATTTCTTATACATTCCTTTAAAGTTAAAACCACCTTCATACAGACGAGAAGTTCTAACACAACGACAACGAATTTCTATAAAATATTAAAGAAAGTTACGACGCGACGCGAGAAATTTCTATAAAAAATTCAATAACCTGACAGAATTTTTATAAAAAATCCAAGTATTTTGTTAATTATACATTTGACTTTACCAAAGTTTACATTTTATTGAAAATCTCTTTAATCTAATTAAAAACTTTTAATACCTTTACAGCACTTTTAATTTTCTTCTACTTAATTTAATTGTATACGTTGAGTACGAATATTGATATGTATTTATGTTTCTTGTTATAGTTGTTGGTGATTTTCCTCTTGCATTAAAACACAATCACGCACACAACGTTTACACCAAACAACAACAAATCATCCATTTCAACTCATCCTTCATCGTCTATACAGTTATTATACTGTTGCTGAGGAGTCATTTGTTATTATTATTTTCTTTTTTGTTTATTGTTGTTTTTGTTATTGTTAAATTCGTTGTTGTCGTCACACACTCTCCTAGGAAATTTGTATAAAAATTTTATTGATTTTTTTTTCTGAGTTCTTTTACCACCACCAACATCTCCAACATCTCACCTCTTCAAATAGTTAAAACAATTCTATTTCTCTCTTTCTGTTATCCATCAAATTTTGTTTATTGTGTGTTGTTGTTGCTATTGTTATTTACAACTTTGTGTGCGTGCGTTCGTTTTGATAAAAACACATTTTTACACTTTTATTTATATTAGTCATTCTTAGGTGTTTGTTTATTTAATTATTATTGTTTTTATTATATTTTATTTTGAATTTTCCTTATTTTTTCTTTACATTTAGTTGTATGCGTGAGTGAGCTTGTGAGTGTGTTAAAAATGAATTTTCCTATTTTTCATGGTTATTTGATGGAAAATGAAATTAAAAATAAAAAAAATTTTCCAAAGTTGTACACGCGAGTGAATATTTTTATATTCTTTTATTTTGTTGGACGATTAATTTGATTATTTTGTCTTGTGCTTGTTAAGGGAAAAATACGTAGTTTTCTTTTACAGGATATTGTTGTTATTAGATTTATAAAATTAACCCCTTAAGGTATAAGGTTACACTTTTGGTTAGATTTTTTTACAATTTTCTAGACTTTCATTAAATTACTCCAAAGAGCGATAGATTTTCTAAGGAAACAACAAGTTAAAGATAAAATTTATATAGGATATTTAAGTTTCTATACAAAATTAAACAAAGAGAACGAATTTTTATAGAAAATTATATTTAGATTCGAGAGAAATTTTAAGAAAGCAACAATTTATTGAAAAATTTAAAAAAACATGCTATTTCTTATAAAATATAACAGATAATAGAAAATAGAGCAATAGAAATTTCAAAAATTCCAAAATTGTTCCCTTAACATTAAAAATATAAAAAAAATCCCAGAAGTATAAAATGTATCACTTAATATTCTTCAAATATTTTAGAATTTTGTTAAACATTTTCTATAGAGAAAAATATTATTTTAATTTTCCAAAATCCTCTATTAAGTTTTCCTTTTTTTTCTATAATTGTCTAAACACCCTCTTTAGAAAAAAAGCCTCTCTTCTCTGGTTAATGTCAATGACCTTTGTGCCAAAACAATAAAATTAGTAGTAGTCCCATTTTGGGGTTAAAAACAGAGAATACGACTCATTCATACGATGAAATGTTGTATGTCGTACCCTTTTTAAAATAGAATTGCCTACTACTATGGTGTTTATATGTACATACTATATAAAAAATATTTTGTTGTAATTGTTGTTATTGTTGTAGTTTTTGCTGTTTATTTTGCATTCACAGTTGTTGTCGTCATCTCAACACTCTGTGCTTTTATATGTGTGAGAGTTTGTATGCGAGATGTTTGTGTAATTGTATTGTTATCACTCTGAAAAATACAAAACAAAGCCCAAAAAACAAACGATAACGCAACAAGAGCAAACGTTTTTCTTTTTTTTTTTTTGTTCTCTTCTCTACAGTTTTCCATTACAATACACTGTTTGAGCCAGTTATGGAAAATTGAGATTTTGAACTGGAGTAGGCTTGACTAAACTAGACTATAGACTAGACTATAGACTAGACTATAGACTAGACTATAGACTAGACTATAGACTAGACTATAGACTAGACTATAGACTAGACTATAGACTAGACTATAGACTAGACTATAGACTAGACTATAGACTAGACTATAGACTAGACTATAGACTAGACTATAGACTAGACTATAGACTAGACTATAGACTAGACTATAGACTAGACTATAGACTAGACTATTGACTAGACTATAGACTAGACTATAGACAAGACTATAGACTAGACTATAGACTAGACTATAGACTAGACTATAGACTAGACTATAGACTAGACTAGACTATAGACTAGACTATAGACTAGACTATAGACTAGACTATAGACTAGACTATAGACTAGACTATAGACTAGACTATAGACTAGACTAAAGACTAGATTAAAGACTAGATTAAAGACTAGACTACAGACTAGACTATATACTAGACTATAGACTAGACTATAGACTAGACTATATACTAGACTATAGACTAGACTATAGACTAGACAATAGACTAGACTATAGACTAGACTATAGACTAGACTATAGACTAGACTATAGACTAGACTATAGACTAGACTATAGACTAGACTATAGACTAGACTATAGACTAGACTATAGACTAGACAATAGACTAGACTATAGACTAGACTAAAGACTAGACTAAAGACTACACTACAGACTAGACTATAGACTAGACTACAGACTAGACTATAGACTAGACTATATACCACACTATAGACTAGACTATAGACTAGACTATAGACTAGACAATAGACAAGACTATATCACTCTGAAAAATACAAAACAAAGCCCAAAAAACAAACGATAACGCAACAAGAGCAAACGTTTTTCTTTTTTTTTTTTTTGTTCTCTTCTCTACAGTTTTCCATTACAATACACTGTTTGAGCCAGTTATGGAAAATTGAGATTTTGAACTGGAGTAGGCTTGACTAAACTAGACTATAGACTAGACTATAGACTAGACTATAGACTAGACTATAGACTAGACTATAGACTAGACTATAGACTAGACTATAGACTAGACTATAGACTAGACTATAGACTAGACTATAGACTAGACTATAGACTAGACTATAGACTAGACTAAAGACTAGATTAAAGACTAGATTAAAGACTAGATTAAAGACTAGACTACAGACTAGACTATAGACTAGACTATAGACTAGACTATATACTAGACTATAGACTAGACTATAGACTAGACAATAGACTAGACTATAGACTAGACTATAGACTAGACTATAAACTAGACTATAGACTAGACTATAGACTAGACTATAGACTAGACTATAGACTAGACTATAGACTAGACTATAGACTAGACAATAGACTAGACTATAGACTAGACTAAAGACTAGACTAAAGACTACACTACAGACTAGACTATAGACTAGACTACAGACTAGACTATAGACTAGACTATATACCACACTATAGACTAGACTATAGACTAGACTATAGACTAGACAATAGACAAGACTATAGACTAGACTATAAACTAGAGTATAGACTAGAAATATGCAACATTCATTAAGGTAGACTATAGACTAGGTTATATACCAGACTATACAATAGACTATAATCTAGACTACAGATTAGACCATAAAATAGATTATGGACTAGACTGCAATCTCTACATTAGCTTATACTATTCTAGTTCAGTCTATAATGTTGTCTAGTCTTTTTTTATATCAAAAACTACTGAATTTTCCACCCCTGGTTTCAACAACTGCTGCTTGTTCTTGTAATGAGTGTTGCATTTTTCAACAAACTTCAAACATTTGTTATTGGATATGTGTATATGTAGTTTTGTTAGAAAACCATTTTGTTGTTGTTAAATTTTCTATTTTTCCTGCTTGTTGTTTTTGTTTTTCTTTTATGTTTTTTTTTTGTTTTGTACGTTTGAAAATTGTTCTAGCCTGTTTTCCCGGGTCGTTTACTGCACAATGCGCATAGTTGAATATTTTTGTTCCTCATTTTTGTTGTTTCCATACTCGTTGTTGTAGTTGTTGGTGTATTCAATATTGTAACTGCTGCCTGACTTGACTTGCCTGCCTGCTGTTGCTTATTTGCTCCTCTGCTGTCTTTTATAGTTTGTTTGAGTTTGTTGTTTGAAGGAAAACCAACAACAACAAGTACATTTACACATACATACACACATTAACAAAAATAAACTACACAACAACAAGGAGGAAAGCAATCAAATACAAATGTCCCAGTTGAAAAATATCCTTTTCATATACAAGACACATGTAAAATTTAATTTTTACACACGGACAGTTTGTTGGTTTGTTAAAACTGAAAAAAAAAAAATTAAGAAAATAAAATAAAAACATGGTGTTACAGTAAATTTATTAAAATTTAAATGGTAAATGTTGTGTTATTTGTAAAAGAAAAACAATTAATTGCTCTTCTTTTTTTACAATTTCCTGAAAATAAAATTTAATTTTTATTCTACCTTAATATTAATTAAATAATTTCTTTTCCTTTAATTACAGGACTTTTTCATATAATTGACTTAATTATAAATGTAAATTTGTGTTGAGAATTTAAACAAAAAAAAAAATACAATAAAAAACAACAAGAAGAAGAAAACAGCAGCAAAATATTATAATATAAATTTTATAACTTCATCACGAAAAATCTCATCATCATATAGCAAACAAAATAGAGAAGAGAAAGAATGTTTAACGAAGAGAGTATGTATAATTAATTTTTTTAATATTGTATGATAAAAACATTAGCGCCTAAACATATACTACACTTATAAATGGATTAATTATCTCATACAACGTGTAATAATTCACAATAATAGAATAACTGCAAAACACACGCAAATTAAAAAAGAAAACAAACAGAAATCTAGTAATATTAATAGATCATTTAAGAACAAACTAGAGGACAAAAACAACAATAATTAATAGAAATATGTTTAATAATAATTTTTGTGACCATAAGGAAAAAAATAAATTTTAACTTTACACAAATAAGGAAAGAAAAACTTAAATAACAGATGGCTTTGTTTTCAGTATTTAAATAAAGTTTTTATAAAAATTAAGGATTCTACTTTATTAACGTGATATTTAAAACGAAGTTTAAAGTGTGTTTAGCTATTAACTTTTTAAATCTATTGAGAACATTTTTATAGAAAAGAGCAATTATTAAAATAAAGTGTTAAATATTTAGAAAGTTCTTAGAATTTTAATGTTGAAAATGGTGCAAATATTGATATAAATTAAAAATATAGCAGAGTGTTTTATACAAATTCATAAGATCGGAAGGTTTTATTTCAAAAAATCAAAATATCGATATTTTTGAAGAAAGTGAATGATTTTTTTCTACAAGTTTAGGAGAACAATAACTTTTTTTTAACATTTCAAGAGAAACGCAGATAATTTAAGAACGCGAAAAAAAATTCTAGAAAAGCTGCAACAATTACAACAATTTTTTATTGAAAATTTAAGAGAGAACGACAAACTTTCTATAGAAATTTAAAAAAAACTACAAATCTTTTATAGAAATTTAAAAAGAGCGACAAATTTTCATAGTAAATTCAAAAGAGCTGCAAATTTTCCCAAAAAACGAAATATTTTCTTTATAGAATACAAAAATTTGCATATTTCATACAGAGAAATGAAGAGAGCGTTATAATTTTTATAAAAAATTTCAGTGAGCAAAATATTTTCTAAAGTAAATCTCAATGAGCGATAGAATTTCTAAACAAAATCAAGAAACCAAAAAAGATTCTATAGGAAATCAAAAAGAGTGATTAAAATCTATAGGAAATAAAGAGAGCAACAAAATTTTTATAGCAAATTTTTATATAAAATATATATGAGATTACGATCGGCTTTCTCTTGGAATTAAAGATTTCTCTTGGAAATAGAGATCAATAAAAGTTCTAAAGAAACTTTAATATATAAACTTTTTCATTCAAAAATCAAAAGAGCGACCATAGTAAATATAGTAACTAAACATGTTTTTCAAAAAATTCCAGATTTTAAACACTATTTCTTAGAAAAATTTATGGAAAACATTGTAAAAAACATTCATATAAGTTAAGTTGATCAATGTCATATCTTTGGAACTAGAAGGCTTACCCCGACTAGACTGAAATATCCGCCTTTTGTTTTATTCAAAATCAAATAATTTTTCCTCTTAATTTCCAATAAATTTAACAAAATTTCTCTCTATTCCACATTTTAGGTATTCTTTTCCGGATTTTCTATTAAAATACAACAAAAACAAACACTCAATTAAAATAAATAAAAGAACAATTTCATTTCGAAGCGATTTTTACAAAACAAAGCGAAAATAAATTCATACAAGATTTTTAAAACGTGTCCAACAAAATGGCCACATCTCCCACACCATCATTAGACTCCATACGTGGTACAAATTCCATTGAATCCTATATTGAACATAATGGTTATCTATCCGATTCACCACTCACATTAAGCGGTTCCTCGCCACCGGTCAGTGACTCAGCCATTTGTGATGATTTCTCAAATGTCGTAGGACAAACAGTTGTGGGACAACATCCTATATCAGCGTCAGTATCATCATCCGCTTCGAGTACATCATCAGCATCGTCCTCTTCGTCATCGTCCTCATCATCGAGTTCGGGTTTAAGTGGTTGTGGCAGTACATCTAGCAGCGCCTCAAGTACATCATCCAATACGGGTGGTGGCGGCGGCGGCGGTGGAGGAGGTGGTGGAGGTCCTGGTGTAATAGGCAGTGGTAAAGGTAGTCCCTGTAATAATCTCTTGGGTACATCGGCAAATGGCAATGTTATAAATGTAACTACGGCAAATGGCACAAGTGCTGCACCACGTTGTACAGCCTGTAAAAGTAAACAATCCGATGCTGTGGCCAAATGCTTTAATTGTGTAAGTTTTTTGTGCGGTAATTGTTGTACAGCTCATGAATTTATGCATTGCTTCAATGGACACAATGTTTGTTTGATTAAGGGTTTTGAAAGTGGAACCACAACACACCCCGGCAGTAATTCACAATTGAGCAGTAATCCTATGGATTTTAAATTCTCCAGTTCTTTGACCATGATGTTGCAGCAACAACAGCAACAACATCAGCAACAGCAGCAACAACAGCAGCAACAACAACAGCATCAACAGCAGTCACAGCAACAATTACAAAAGGCTCCCACACAACAGCCTCTATCGCAGCTGTCAAAGATTGTCTTGAGTTCAGCCGCCGCAGCCGCTGCTGCAGCAGCTGCCGCTTCTTCTTTCAGCAATGATTTGAATTCCAACGATTCCTCGATTATGGGTCAGGAAGATATCTTCTCCAGTATGTTGCCCTCTAGCATGCGTTCATCCCAACAATTGTTACCAGCTTCAATGAGCCAACAACAAATGCAACCCCCACAACAGCCCTTGTATTGTCAGCGCCATAAGAACGAGTACTTAAAGTTCAGCTGTCGTACTTGCTGTACTTTGGTGTGCAAGGAATGTGTTATCTTAGAACACTCCTCGGGCATGCATGAAGTTGAACATGTACAGGAAAATGGCTTGGGTTCATTAAATCAATTAGCCGGCCAGTCTACACCCGAGACAGTATTACAAACTGTTTTAGCTGATTTGCGTGGTAAAGTAGGCGATATTGTCTCTATGGTAGGCAGCCAACAAACACCCGGAGATAATCAAATCCTAAATGGTTCGAAAATTAAAATGCAGTATCAAAAAGCCCACAATGAGGTTAATGAAACCTATCAGTTCTTCTGCTCTATGTTGGATGAAAGAAAACAGGAATTACTTAAAGAATTGGAAAGTCTATACAATGCCAAGATGAATACCCATTCAGCCTGGATACAAAGATCCAAGGAGTTGATTGAAAAGACTTTACAGAGTTGTGATGCTATTGAAAGATCACCCAAGGCTCATTCCATTACCGAAGTTTTAATGTTGCGCAAAACATTGGAATTACAATTACAGGCAGCTATGCAGGAATTACAAATGCCCTTCGAATTGGAATTCATGTCAAATTATCAATCCATACAGGCTGGTGTGCGCAATACTTTTGGCTATATCAGAGCTTCAGCTGGTGATATGGTACAGCAACAGGTTAAACAACCACCCATTGCCAGACCCTCACAGTCTACATCATCATCGTCATCTCATGGTGGTGGCTCTTCGAATAGCAGTGTTACTGGAGGCTCACATTTGCCCGGTGGCTTAGGTTTGTCCGCCAATCTTTTGGAATCTTCTTATTCCAGCAGCTTGTTGGGCAATAGAGCTAGTGTTTTGCAAGCAAACCATAATAGTGGTTCCACTTTTGAGGATTTGATGACCAAACGTTTTAATGCAGCCAATTCCAATAACAACACACCCTTTGTGGGAGTACCCGTTACCAATCCCTATGAGAAATGGAGCAATGGCGGCAGTGACAACTTATTCTCCTCTGCCCAAGATCCTTTCTCCTCCAGTCAAATGCTAACAAATGGTTTGACAGCCAACTCAAACTGTACCACCGTGGCTACTACTAATGCCGGTTTGGCAGCCTCTGCTTTGGCTACCCTAAACATGACTAATGGCAGCGGTTGCTCCAGTTCTGACTCCATCATGGACTTGACTTCCAAATTGCTCTCTGCCACCATCTATCCACCTAAATCACAGATTAAAAGACAAAAAATGATTTATCATTGCAAATTTGGCGAATTTGGCGTTATGGAGGGTCAATTCACCGAACCCAGTGGTGTAGCTGTCAATGCTCAAAACGACATTATTGTGGCAGATACCAATAATCATCGTATACAAATCTTCGACAAGGAAGGTCGCTTTAAATTCCAATTTGGTGAATGCGGCAAAAGAGATTCACAACTTTTGTATCCAAATCGAGTGGCTGTAGTGCGCAATTCGGGAGATATTATTGTAACCGAACGCTCGCCCACACACCAAATACAGATTTACAACCAGTATGGCCAGTTTGTGCGTAAATTTGGTGCAAATATTTTACAACATCCACGAGGTGTTACCGTCGACAACAAGGGCCGTATTATAGTGGTCGAATGCAAGGTAATGCGTGTCATTATCTTTGATCAAAATGGCAATGTTTTGCATAAATTTGGCTGCTCTAAACATTTGGAATTCCCCAACGGTGTGGTGGTCAATGACAAACAGGAAATTTTCATTAGTGACAATCGTGCCCACTGCGTTAAGGTGTTCAACTATGAGGGCCAATATTTAAGACAGATTGGTGGTGAAGGTGTTACCAATTATCCCATTGGTGTGGGCATTAATACCAATGGTGAAATACTTATCGCTGACAATCATAACAATTTCAACTTGACCATTTTCACCCAAGACGGTCAATTGGTTTCCGCCTTGGAATCGAAAGTCAAACATGCTCAATGCTTCGATGTGGCCCTAATGGATGATGGCAGTGTTGTATTGGCCAGCAAAGATTATCGTCTTTACATCTATCGTTATGTGCAAGTACCACCCATTGGTTTGTAAACATGATTTCTTTATTTTTTAACGTATATTTTATATAGAATTTTATATAGAATTTTAAAACAACAACGTACACTTATTATTAATTATTATTATTATTTTTTGTTTTTGTAAGTTATAAAAAAAATGCATTTTTTATTATTATTATTATTACTACTATTAGTTTTTTGATAATGTTATTTATTATTTTTTGAAAATTTTAAAACACAAAACAAAACACGTAAACGAAAAAAAACGTAATTTGAAGAAAAACAAAAACAATATGATGTTAAATGATTGATTTAAGATTTTCATGGTATTAAGTGAAAATCCTTAAACAAAAACACGACTGAGCTTTGTTAAATTTTTTGTTGTAAAGAAAAACTTCTTAAAAAAAAAAGAGTAACAAATTTAGAAAAAAGCTCTTGCTAATGATAAAAAAGCTCTTAAATGCTACAAAAAAATGCTCTCTCTATCACTCTCTATAATTAGTGTTATAAGGCGATAAGTTTTTTTTACTTGTTTGTTAATTTATATAAAAACAACCAACAAATTTTATGAAAAATTTGTGGAATTTTTCTTAAAAAAAACTAATGATGAATTTGAAATCTCTTTGTTTTTTTAATTTAATTTTTTTTATATAAGAAAGTAATAAGTAATTTTGTTGAGCTCAGTTTTTTCTTTTTTTTTGTTATAAAACTTTTAAGCTTCTTCTACTCACTAAGACTACCCGCCCCCTTACTGTCCCTCATTTATTTTATTAATATTTTATTTACACTCTCACTACCCTTTTGACCCCCTTCCCCCTCTCCCCCTGTGTGTCTCATTAACTTGTTTTTATTGTTGAGGTTATTTCCTTTTTTTTAATAAATTGTTTTTTATTTTTACTTTTATTTTATTATTTTTTTTTAATAATTTTAAGCTTAATTATTTCTTTTTTATATAGTTTTTTAAATAAATTTTGTGTATGTAATGTTTTATTAAATTTTTTTTTATAATGGTAAATTTTTTTTGTGTAATTTGTAATTTTATTTTTTCATTTTATGTATTTTCTGTTTGTTATTTTTATTTTTTTTTGGCTGTTTTTTAATGTTTATTTCTTAAATATTTATTATAGATATTTTGTTTGCTTTTTTATGATGAAGAAATTTTTAGAAAAAAAATTTTAAAGAATTTTATTTAATTTAAAGTTTTTATATACTCGCATTAATAATTATTTTCTAAAAAAAAAAAAAAACATTTCATAACTTAAACTTTAATTTATAGTTTATAAAATGTTTTTTTTTTTGTATTCAAATTTATTTATTTCTTTAAATTTTTATAACAAAACTCCTAATGAATTTGTATATTTTTTATAAGTTTTTTACCATTAATTTTAATTTTTTTCTATTTTTTTTTATTTTTGAGTGTTTTATGTTAATTATAAATTTTTTTTTTATTATATATGAACTGAACAATTTTTGTGCGAAGCGAAATAATATAATGATTTTGTTAATTTTTTTTATTATTAAAAAAACAAAAAAATACTATCTAAATAAAACTGTTGATTTTTCTTAAACAAACTTCTTTTTTTTTCAAAATAATTACAAAAAAAAAAAAAAAAAAGAAAATATAATTAATAAAAAAGTTATTAAAAAGCCTAAAAATACCTTTTTTAAACAAACGCTAGAAAAGAAATCTTTAAAGCTAAAAGATTTTTTTTAAACAATTTTTCTCTACTCCTGTTTGGCAATCAGTTTATAAGACTTAACACATAATAATTCTTAAAAGAAATTTTAAAACAAAAACAAATATAACAATTTACAATTAATTGTTTGGTAATTTATTTTTTTACTCTTGAAAAATATTTAAAAAAAACCCTTAAAACAAAACAAAAAACGTTATAAAAAAAAAACTTTTCCATGAATTTACTATTAAAAAGCATTTGTTTCTTTTTTATAAAACAAAAAAAAAAAAACATAATTATAAAACCAACATTTTTTTAATTGTTAATTAGTGAGTTACTCAATTGAAAAAAAAAAAAAACAAAAAATCTTAAACATTAAACATTAAATGATAAAAATAATAAAACAAAAAAATTTTAAGATTTTTTTGTTTACATTTTTATTATTATTTTTTTTTAATAAAAACCATACAATTTTAGCTTTTAATATATTTGCTTAAATATTTATACAATTAAGTGTTTACACAAATTAAACAAAACCCACAAAAATACCCTTATTTTTTTAATTATAATACGTATATATTTAAAGAAAAAATATAAGTTTTAGTAGTAATTTAACCTAAAAAACATATAAAACACAAGAAACAAAACTCTAAAAAGCATAACTGTTCAAATAAAACAATTTAATTTTTTAAATGTTTTATACCTTGTCCAACATTTAAATTGTTAAAGTTTTACAAATTTTAAAAAGTTTTGTATATGTTAAAGTTTATTTGTTCTCATTCCAAAACTGACAAAACTAAAAACTTAAAAACTAAAATAATATTTTGTTTTAAAAATCATTCCATTAAGATCTCAATATCAACAAGTATTTCAAAATAATTCCTTTAAAAATGAAAACAAAACATAAATTCTCTTAAAGAAATTTTATATAATTTGAAAATTTTCTTTTAAGCAACATTTTTACACTCACAAAATTTTGAAATTTCAAACTTTTCCATAAAATTTTCCATATACAGAATACTAGCATTAGATAAAGACAAAATTTCGAATTTTCGAAATCGTACATGTTCTCTTTAAGTTAAAAAACATAAATGAAAACTTAAAACTTTTTTTCGAAATTTTATATTTTCTTCGAACATTTAAGAGCAAAAAATTAAAAAAAATATATTGTTAAAAAAAGTTTTGTTTTAAACATTTTTCGAATTTCGAATCCTTCGAACCTTAAAATACCAATTTTTATCAAATTTCGTTAATTTTATTAAAATATAATCTAATCTTCGAAATCGAATAAGTTTACCAACATAAAAGTACATTTTCAAAATCTTTGAAATTTTCGAAAATTTTAAAAATTTTGCTAAAAACTAATATTCCTTGAATTGTTCGAAAACTGTTTTCTGAACATAAAAGAACACGTTTTTTCTGAATTTGAGATTTTCGAACATTTAATTCCTTAAAGAATCTACACTTTTTTTTAAACTTTTCGAATATTTAAGAACACATTTATCTGAATTTGAGCTTTTACTTAAAGAATTTAAACTTTTTTCAAACTTTTCGAACATAAAAGAAAAAGTTTTTTCTGAATTTGAGCTTTTCGAACATTTAATTCCTTAAAGTATTTTCACTTTTTTCAAACTTTTCGAACATAAAAGAACACATTTATCAGAATTTGAGCTTTTTCTTAAAAAATTTACATTTTTTTCAAACTTTTCGAACATAAAAGAACACATTTTTTCTGAATTTGAACTTTTCGAACATTTAATTTCTTTAAGAATTAAAATAATTTTAATATTGGAACTTTAAAACTACATTTTTATATATAAGAATCTATTAGAATATTCAATGAAATTTCTAAATTTAACATTTTTATTAAAAATGGGCTTGTTAACACAAAATTTACGAATTTAGAAAGTTTTCGAACATTAAATTTTATTAAAAAATTTGACTTTTTATTCTTAAATAAAACATATTTCATAATTATGTTCAGTTTTTTAAGAAATTTTTCAATTTTTGTAAATTTGAATTTTTCGAACATTCAATTTTGTTCAAAAAAAAAAAAAAAAAATAATAATAATAATAATTAATTGAAAGTAGAAGTTACAAAATGCATTTGTTAAGAATATTTTTGATTTAGAAAATTTTCGAATATTGATAAATTTAACGTTTTTCGAACATTGAACAGAAATCTTGTAAATAAAATTTTCAATAGAAATCTTTAAAATAAAATTTCTCAAATTTTTCGAAGATTGAATATTCGAATTTTCGAACATACAATTTTCTCCAAAATCAAATATTTCTAATAATTAGAAGTAATTACATAATTTCGTTGTGATTTTTTTGAATTCGAAATTTTTCGAACTTTGAATATACGAATTTTCGAACATCGAATTTCATTCAAAAACTTCACTCCGTATAAAATTATTTCTTTATTTTGTTAGAATTTTTCGGATTTTGAATCAATTTTCCTCAAAAAGCTTAAGTTTTGAAAAAAATATATTTTTTTTAAATTTCGAAATTCTGCGAATATTGAATTTCTTCAATTTTCAAGTATTTCGAACTTTCAACTTCATGAAAAAAGTAAATTTTTGAAAAAAAGTATAATTTTTTTATAGATTGTTACAAACATTTCTAAAATTTATTTTCGATTTCGAAGTTTTCGAACATTAAATTTTTGATATTCGAATATTTCGAACAAAAAATTTCCAATTTCACTCAAATACTTCTATTGTAGTTAAAAATTGCTTTGAATTTTTTAATTTCAAAATTTTTCGAACATGGAATTTTTATAATTTTCACATATTTTGAACTTTCAAGTTTGTGAAATAGCTGAACTTTTGAAAAAAAGTATAATTTTAATTTCGAAAAATTTTCGGAGATTGAATATTTGAATTTTCAAACATTAAATTTTCTCTAAAAACTTTACTTAACTTTTAATAGAAAATAGTGTTTAAAAAAACATTTTTTTAAATTTCGAAAATTTTCGAACATTAAATTTTAATCAAAAACTTAACTTTTTCTAGCAATTAGAAGTTTTTTTCCATCATTTTATTTGAAGTTTTCTGAGTTCGAAAATTTTCGAATATTGAGTTTAAAATAGAAGTGTGTTAATGTATAGAGAACTTTTTTTAGTTTTAAATTTCAAGAAAAAAAATGTCAAAAAATATTTACAAAACCTGCTAGAAGATGGGCTACAAATTTCAAAATCGTCTTTATTTTTTACAATTTCAGAACTTCTACTTTTTCTTATTAATGTTTGTTTGCTTTTCTTGTGTTTTATTGTTTTTGTCAAGTTCTATTACTACTATTTATATCTCGTAATATATATAATATTTTTATATTTAGCTAAAAAATAATTTAAAAAAACAACAACAAAACCAACAACTAGGGAATAGTTTTAAACTAAAAATTATTATTTTTTATTATTATTATTATTTAATCATAAGCGATTACATTTTTTCTTTAAACCTAAAAAAAAAGAAATTACTTTTCTTCTCACAAAAAAATATGTAGTTAAAATATTATTTTGTATTATTTTTATTTTATTTTTTTTGTTTTGTTCGTAATTAATTAAAAAAAAAGAAATCACACTGCTACTTATTTATATATTTTTGTATTTATCTTGTATTTTGTTAAACTGAATTGAAAGTAAGAAAAAAAAAAGAATGATCCTTTTTAAGTAAAAAAAAAAAATTAATTGTTTTCTATTGCTTGTATTTTGTTTTTTGTATTAAGTTTATTTTTATTATTATTTTTTTTAAATCAATGTTATTATAGTTTGTAATTATGTTTGATTTTTCTTATAAAAAAAAGCATGGCTGGTTTTTCTAATTTTTTTTTTTTATATAAATTAATGTGTTTGTTAAACTTGCCATTTAAAAGAAAAAGAAATACAAATTAAAGTTTACAAAAATTAAAAAAAAAAATTGTAGTAGTTTTGTTTTTTTTTCGATTTTGTTTTGATAATTATTTATTTTTTTAGCAAAAAAATAAGATGAAATTGGAAACATTAGTATAGTTGTGGTAGTTGAATGATATTGAATGGATTGTTTTTAGAATGTTAACTTTTTTGTTCTAAAATCTGAACATAATCTTTAAAGAGGACATCTTTATTAATGACTTTTAGACACTTCACGTTTTAAACCATTAATATTTAGTTGAATATTAAAAAACAAATGTAAATTAGTACCTTTTCTATAAAATTTTCGATTCTAATCGAAATTTTATCCGTTTTTCATAAACACAATCGTAAAGCATTGAATCAAAACAGAATGTTTTTTACTTTTTCTTAC